GCAAATGGATCATTTCATTATTAATTCATTCTACAAATTTGTGTATGTAAGTAAACATACGCATAATAGCTTTAACTGCTTAAGTACGCATATATTGTATATGTACGTATGTGTATGCATACTTTTCGAAACCTATTGTACTATCATGAATTTAATAAGGGAATTACATATTACTTATATTTTAGCTATTGTAGGATATTATGCTCAACATAATAACTGCTCTAAATTCCAATTATATGTGTCATCATTTAGAATATTTTTATTTAAAAATTCTTACCGCACATTGAATTGATATTTTTATGCATATTAAAATATTTAAATTACATACAAAAAAGCATGTTATAATGTAAAATTTCAATATAAGTATTTATTATAAAAAGAACCATAACACATTTGCTTATACCTTAGGATATATTATATGCTTAAGTATTACTGGAAGAACATAAAAAAAAAGAAAGCAAGAAGAACAAAGAGCATTAAATGTCATGAAAAGAAAATCATTTGAATTTTTATGAATATTTTATTTATTTCTTTTATAAATAATAAATATATATAAGTAATATACTTAAAGTTGAATGCACACTAATCGATTACATACTTATATTCTATACGTATAGATATGTTTACAAACTTATTACAACTTTTTCGTAATATTTTATTAAGTACGTAAGTAATAATTGCGAATTATTCAGCATATTTTATTTGTCGTTAAAATAGGCCAATATTCGTTTATTTTTCTTTTATGATGATATTATTATTTGAACAGTAAGTATGTAAATATATATGTATAGGTATATATACTTTTTCTCAGAGACTTTGATATTTAGGTGCCTTAATTGCATACTATGTTAAAAAAAAATTATCAAAAATATTTTTAATTTAATGCACTCAGTTTTATTCATTGTAATTTTCTGATGAATCTTTTTATTACAAAATCAGTTTTTGTTTTGTTTATTAAGTACTCCTACAAACGCAAAAAAATAAAAGCTTTTATAAATAGTACTTATATGTTTAAATGTATGTACTTTATTATAATAATGATAAATATTACAACAGAGTCTAATATGCATTGAAATAGGGACGGAATATCAATTAAAACTTCATAATTACTTGTTAAATGTAATTAGTTTCGGAAAAACATAATCCTTTTGAACAAAATTCATTGCAAATGTAAAAATTTTTAATTGAGGTTTAAAGACTTACGGGTAATGCACCCTTTGCATTGCAGTTAAGTTATTATTACTAATCATTACAAATTAAGTTACAAATTAAAGTTATTTGAAAAAAAAATTATGTATGTTTATTTTTGGATTTGGCTATTAAAGATAAATAAAAAAAATAAGCACAAAAACTGAACTCGAACAAATCGAGTCAAAAATATATTATGTAAAATAAGTTAGTTAAGCAAGAAATTTTAACAATATATCTTTAACGTAGTTTATTTATTCTATAATTTTTTATATACTTATAATACAAGTATTCATAATTTTCATAATTTTTAATATTTCATTTTAATTTTTACCAATTTTCTTTTAAATTATTATACTTAATACATATTAAATTATTATTTTTTAAGAAATTTCGAAAAAATACTTTCGAATGCTAAAAAAAATAGAAAAATCAGATTTTATATTTTCTTCAATTCTTTTCTATTTTACTAACTAAGTATGGGTAGAATAAATAAAATATTGAAAGCACAAAGACCTATTTCCACCCACGGAATGTTTTATTTTTATATATGAGAGTGCAAAAAAAAAATAAAAAGATTAAAAAAGAAATAAATGTACAAAAAATACAAATAAATATTCAAATAAAAAATATAAGTATATAAAAAAGAAGACACATGAACAGTACAGAAACATTAAGTGATAAATTTACGCACAGAAATTCTCTTTCTAAAGAAATAAAAATCAAAATAGAAATATCGAAAATCAACTGTCGAATTTTTTACTAATTGACTAAAATGTTTTAATTTTAAATAAAATAAATAAAAATTAACAGAAAAAAAAAGAGAAATGAAACGCAAATGAAAATTGTATTTCTTAAAAAACTTACTTATAGAATTTCGAAAATTTTTTAAGAAGGAGTAAGGGTACCTACTATCTAATTTTGCGATTAAAATTAAATTCTTTTTTGTAGCAAAAATAATTAAAATTTTAAAATATTCGTTCATAATTTATAAATATTTTATAGTGAAATCATTTTAAACAGATAATCAAATTTTAGCTTGTAAATATTTGAAAATGGAAATAAGGTTTACAATAACACTGAATTCTTAGGATCAAAACCAAATTAGTGTTCTAAAGAATTGAACTGTTGGAGTTCCAAGTGCAAAAATTTTCATTTCAAATAATTATTAGTAACCTCAAAAATATCAAAATATTTTCTTGATATTATGAAAATAGTATTAAAACTTCTTATCTTTGACATTCTACTACTGATTTTTTACAAAATTTCAAAACTTGTTCCTTTTATCTAAGTTACATGTTTTCTCTGCTCTACCATAGACTTTGATTATAAAAAGTGATTTCAAAATTTTATTTCGAGAGCAACAAAAAAGAAACAGCATGAGCTGTTCTGAAATAGATGCTAATTTTAACAAGAAATTATCACCCATGTTAGTCGCATTCTATCGCAATCCGGCGATGGTTAAGTATTTAAAGGTATTTTAGTTCTCAATATTGAATTACAAATTTTGAAATTAATTTTATTTAGAATATTACAAAATTTTTGAATTAAAACCCATTATTTCAAGTCAAGTTAAGTAACTAACGGGATATAGTTGAAGAAATTTTTGTTACCTTCCGGTATACACTTTATCAACACTAAATCTTTCAATTTGCATACACATAAGAAAAACGTTAAAAAGGATTCATTGAAATCGAAATAAAATGAAAAAAAAACATTTTAATATAAGTACTATTTATATTAAAACATTCTTATAAGTACCTGAAAGTTTAATCCTAATGCGTTTTACATTTATCATTGATATCTCACTAATACTAATTCCAGTTTCAATTTCAAAATCTGCAAAAATAAAAACTTTCATTAAGCACCTAATATTTTTTATTTTCTATGTTATTTAGATTTCAGTAAGGCCATGTAATATTTAAATACTTGACCAATTTCAATTATGAATGGATTAGACTATCTTATAGGTACTCAAAATACGAATTCTAAAACAAAAAAAGAAGTAGATAGGCATTTAAAACCATGTTGAATTTTAGAAAATTTTTGTATCTTCAACATATTTTTTTATAGAATCATATTCACAAAATTACTTAGGTTAACTTTTCTAGCGCTTTGAATAGGTTCATAAATTAAGATATTAATCATTAAACGATACATACATACTTAGAGAAAACACTTCTTATTATTCAGTTAGTATGGGTTATTGATAAACAAAATTAAAAATCAAATATTGTTCTGATTAGATAAGAACTTATTACTATAAGAAGATTAATTAAAGTAACATTTAATTTTTTTAATTAAATTTAAAAAAAAATTGTAAATGCATTAAGTAGGTATAGGTACCTACTCAAAATAAATAATTCCGTGTCAGTAAAACAAAATAATGTAATATTGGAAAAAATGTTGAAAATTTTATTTAAATCTAAAACAGAAGCTTATCTTATAGCAGGGTCAGCCCCCAACATGTTTAAAAAAAATAACAAATAAGTAATTAACATTTTAAGTAGTTTTACCAAAACTCTCATCAAAATTTTAAAAAATATCAAGACAAAAATTATGAATTTATAAGATTAAACAAAAAGAAAAACTATTAATCCATTAAAAATTATAGTTTTGTGTAATCCAAATTTCATACTTGAAGATGCATGGCTAGTTAAATGAACAGTTAATTTTGGTACTATATAGATAGGTAGGTAGGTGCTTACCCAGGTACCTACATATTTAAAACTATATTTCTCGTCGTTTTTAAATTTTCCTTACTAAAGTATCTCTATCCGATCATCATCATGTTGATGAACATCAGTAAAACTTTCTCACGAATTTACTTATTAAACATTATATTAAGTATATCCCACAAATACTTTTTTATGTACAAATGTATATGTATACAAATAAAAATATTTATAAGTAGGTACATGTTTCATTGTTACTCTTTCTTTCTTTTTCTATTAATTTTAGTTTTTCATTTAATTTTTAACCAATTGGACGTACTACAGTACATAATATATAAATTTCCTCCTGTTGACTTAACTAAAATTAAAAAAAAAAATTAGAAAATAAAAAATAAATGCCGCACGGCAAATAGAACCAGAAGCTACACTACCAGACACTTTGCCCCACAGAAAGAAGCCAAATTAGCAGATTTTTGCCTTTTTCTTTTCCTTTTCTTGTTACTTTTATACTTATGTATATATAATTTTTTTTTATTTTCACATTCTATTTTATATTTTCTTTTGGTTTTTTATAACTTTTTAATTTTTTGGCTGCTTTTTATGTTGATATGTATGCAACCCATTTTAGCGTTCCCCAATTTCGATACATAGCATTAGCATAGTATTGTATAGCATAGATGGCACAACTAATAAAACGTAACAGAGCAAGAGTGAATAACATACTAGTACGATTACGATTTACGATTGTGAGTATAAGAGAGCGCGCTGCGAAAGCCAACAAAAAAAATTCGATGACCATATTAGGAGAATCTCTGAATTCATGGTCGGAATTTTGGTGTAATATTTTCAGTATTTTTCTTTCATAAAATAAATTTAAATTAAATCGATAATTATTTTAAGTGCTTATTATATTTTTTTATTGATTTGAAATTATTTTAATATTTAATTAAATACAATTAATCTTTTTCATTAATGTAAAAGAAGCAAATAAAATTTCCAGAGATCAAAAAAAATATTTTTTTTGACAAATATAATTTAATCACGATCACACATCTTTTGTTTTATGAATTTTTACTTATTATTTTCAACAAAATTAGGATATTAATCATATTCACATTATATAAATAAATAGCTCACTTTGTTGTTATGTTGGTTTAATATAATTATTTAATTAAAATATTAAAAAATGTTTAAATAATTTCTAAGCGCGAAAAAAAAAATTTCTTAACTGTGCAACCCGACGAAGTGATACAAACCGAATAGATGGGCAAGAAATACTACTGTCAAAATATGAAAGCATATTATTTTACTACCTATATTTTATTATGGCATTTGCCATTTATGACGTCTAACTGATAAGTGACACATAGAGTTGGCAATATTATTTCTATTTTGTTTCAACCCTGGCAGCACTAACCTTATAGTGAAATGAATTTGTTTCCCGGATACATTATATGATAATGCTGCTAAATAATTTTGAAAAATTAGAATATTAAAAAATGATAACGCTAAAAATGGAAAACCTATCCGTGCCATGTATATAATATAATATTTCTAATTGGACTAAAATGAGTCTTTTCTGTTTTAACCCAACTTAATAAAGCAACCTTATTTTTTAAATAATAGTGAACTAGTAATGTAAAAGTGTATATTTTTAAAATATTTGTTACATATTAAAAAAAAAAAATGTCAAACACATATAACATTTTTTGCTGTATTTACATTTTTTGCATGGTTTTTCGAATTTTATATTATATTAAAGGATTAAATTTTTAAAAATTTTGCTCTTAAAAATCTTAAACTTGGCATCGACAAACCTTAGGTCGTTTTATGATGGAATGCTTCTGAAAAAAGTGTAATCTCGATTTTTTCTTCTTAGTTTTGAGAAATTGAAAATAAAACATCCAAAATTTTTATTTACACGAATTCATCTTAAACAAGGTTGTGTAAAAAATCATAAATTGAAAGAAACGTCAATTAGTAATTAATCTAACAAATTCCTAAATGTCACTTCTGTTTATGCTGTCACTTCTATCTTCAACAATTTTCATTAATAGGTCTGTTTAGATATCCAAAACTTATCAAAACTTTTATACTTTTTGCAAAAAAGGGGAATAATTATGTTAGGTCTGTCTTTTTGCAAAAAAGACAGACAAAACATAATTAATATGTAATTTTCCATAATGCATATTAAAAAATTATCTATGGGTTATCTATCATTCTTAAAATATCTATAGAGCAGATCTATTTTTTATACATATATAGTATTGAATACGTATAACCTTATATTAAGTCCATAATAAAATTATGACTTAATTTATTTATACACTTTTGGTAGAAACCAAAATTTAATTAGAAAATAAAATTTTATTTCAAAACCAAAAACTTTTTTAAAAGTAAAAATCACATTTTGGACAATGTGTGAAAACGTTTAGATTTTCAAATAAAATAAAATTTAATACCACATTTTAGTGGTAGAACACATTAAAACCACACTATTTGTTTACTTTTTTGACATTTACTAGCATCCAAAATAGATATATATGAATGTATTTAGTCAATGTATGCGGTGTGATTCGCACGTGTTGAAATTGAAAATAAATAAATAGTTGTACTTAGCTTCATTGAATAAAAATTGTTTGTTTATTAAAATCTCAGAAAAAAGTAAAAATGTTAAAAATTAGTTCTAAAAAGAAAAATTACGTTAGTTTTAATTAATAATGATTTTTTAATAATATACTAAACAAATAAATTTTTAGGTTCTAATTGATAAAAATAATGGTGATGATAGTGAAACTGGTTCGATGGTTGAAAGAATAGAAAATGATTCAAAAGAGGAGTTTGACGTTGAAGAATCTGATAGCACTGATGGGTTTTCAGGCGAAGAATTTAATGAGGACGCAAGAGAAAATGGTGAAGTTGTTATGGGCATCAAACGTAAATATGAACCAAAATCACCTAAACAAGTTGCAGGAAAAAAATTAAAAATTGATGCAAATAATTCCAAGAACCTATATAAACCAGCAACTGTAGAGGAAATTAATAGACTTCGAGAAACAGAAACACAATTTCATTCAAATCTATTTCGCATGCAAATAGAGGAGATAATTCAAGAATTGAAAATTAAGGAAAAAGTCAAAATATTCGTTAATGATTGGCTATCGCAATTTAACGCATTTTTAGATGAAATGGAATCCCAAACTGAAAAGCTAGATAGTTGCAATCTTACTTGGGTAAAAGCATGTCAGTTTAAAAGCCCTTTCAGAAGAAAAAATACTGTGAAGCAGAAATTCCAATTTCAGTTTTTAAAGCCATCTAAACCCGCTGTTTTCGTGGGATCTTTTGTCTCAAATACAATTATTGATTCACTTATGACAATAGATATTTGTGTTGAAATGCCAGCTAAAACTTTCCAAAAAGGGGATTATCTAAATTTAATATATGAAGAGAAACGTTCTTTGTATATACTTTATTTGGCGCATAAAATGGTTGAGAGCAAAAAATATAATGCAGAATTAATTCACTACAATTATTTTCAAAACAATTCATTAAAACCTGTTTTGGAAGTTAGTGTTGACGGAAAATACCAAGATAAAGTTAAATTTAGAATATTTCCAGTTCCAGAGGACGGATCTTTCAAATTAAACCGGTTTGTTCCTTGGAACAGTAATATTCGATCTAATCTGTTTGATGAGAATACTTCTAAAGAAAACGAAATTTTTTATGCCACCCCTTATTATAATTCAAATATTTTATTCGATATAACAATGAAAAAAAATAGTGAGTTAATTCAAACGGTTATTAGTAACAATAAAAATTTGCAAGAAGGTTTAATTTTATTGAAAATTTGGTTAAAACAGCGAAATTTAAATGAAGGATTATTTTCGTTCAACAATCATGTAATGGTCCTCTTTGTTGTATGGCTATATCGGCATCGTAAACTTTATCTCGGAATGAGTAATTATCAAATAGCTAGAAATGTTTGGCATCAGTTAGGTATCTTTATGTCAATTACGATTTTTAAGTATTTGCACAAATATATTTTTCTGTAGCATCCAGTTCCTGGAATGAAGAGACTAAGGGTTTATCTTTACATTCAAAAGTAGAAGATAATCCAAATCAGCCTAATATAGACCAAATGCACCAATACTTTGACTTGGTTTTCATTGATTGTACAGGCTTTTTAAATGTGTGTGCTAATATGTCATTGGATATTTATTTGAGAATAAAATACGAAGCGAATCGTGTAATAGATTTATTGAATGACAACAAAATAAATAGTTTCCAAGAATTGTTTATGACCAAAATTCCACATCATATTCAGTTTGACCATGTTTTTGGGTAGGTCCGATTTACGATGATTTCCAAATTTAAAGAAATGTTTTTTTTTAGTTTCAAATATGACGATATTAAGCAGTTTTTACAGACGGAAAATCAAAAACCCGAATATTTGAATTTTGCTGGAGACTGGCTACCTGATGCTACGAAACAGGTGATAAAGTAGGTTGCTTATATTACACATTTTTATAGAAATTTATACAATAATCAAAACAGTTTCATTAGAAATTTAATTTTTTTTCAGTGTATTAAGAAAAGGTTTAAGTAATAGAGTTTTGTCAATTACCCCACTGGAAAAAATGGTTGGGCCTTGGAGTATCAAATGCAAACCACCAAAATCTCAAGATAGCTTCCGAATTGGAATAGTTTTAAATTTGGGAAAAGCACTTGATGTTCTTGATAAAGGTCCCCAAGCTAATGATGCAACGGCACCTGAATTTCGAAGTTTTTGGGGTAATAAATCTGAATTACGTCGTTTTCAAGATGGTTCTATAACGGAGGCATGTGTTTGGGGTGAAAAAAATGATACTTTAAAAGAAAAAAGATTAATTGTAAAACAGATAATTTTTCATTTACTGCAACTTCATTTCAATATCAAGGATGTTTGGTATTTAGCCGACCAATTTGATAATACCTATGAATTAGATAAAGAATTTATTTCACCTAAAAATCTTAAATTAAATGCTGAGTATTGTGCAATAGATGTAATAAAAAATTTTGATGATATTGGCAAAAAACTTAGAGCATTGCAAGAATTGCCATTAGATGTAACGGGTGTTCAAGGCATATCACCAGTTTTTCGATATGTTGAACCTGTTCCCATATTGAATAATGCGACGTTTTACACAGATATTGGAACTAAAAAATTATTATTTCGAGCTTATAATATTAATGAAGGAATAATTGAATTAGGTAATAAATTTGATTCATGATGAGAGTTTTTAAAGTTTTAATATTAAGAAAAAAAGAGATACGTTTTAAACTAGTAACTATTGCTGGTAAAATTTTTAAAAGTTTTTCTTTTTAAATAGAATTGAGTTAATATAGTAGCTAAATTTTATTTAAGGTACAAGTGGGAAATGGCCTAATGATTTGTCTGCATTTAGAAGAATTAAGACGGCATTTCATATTAAAATAGCCAACAGTCTTATGGAGGTGTACAAGCTGAAAACGCGAGGAGGAATCGATGGAATTCACATTTTGAATAATGGATATTTATATAAAATCGAAATATCACATCCAAAAGAAATAGCTTTGCTAAAAAAAACTACCACTGAAAAAGGTGTAATTCGATATGTTGACACTGAAGAAAGCATACAGCTTGAAAAGCGTTTAATTATTTTGCCAAAAGTTACAAGTGCTTTACATGGCTTATACCAGCAATTTTCTTGCTATGGTCCCACTGTTATGATTGCGAAGCGATGGTTGAATTCCCAATTGATTGATTCTTATCTATGGCCCGATGAGTGCACGGAATTATTAGTTGCATATCAATTTCTTAAATCTAATAGTTTACCAAATCCTTGCCAACCACAAATTGGTTTTTTAAGATTTTTAAACTTATTAACTACTATGAATTGGCAGACTGACATGTTTATTTTAAATTTTAACGATGACATGACGCGTAAGTTATTTAAATAAATACTACATAATTTTTATTTTAACATAGATATACCCTTAGAACAAGAAATAGCTGACTTGGAAGAAAAATTCTCAACGAAACGTGATACATTTCCATTACTTTTTATTGCAACTTCATTTGATGAAAAGAGATATGGAACATGGTGGGGTAAAACGGCACCCAATATTCATATTTTATGTAGAGTTGTTACATTGGCAAAACATGCTCTTGAAATATTACAAACGATGTATTTGTCCGGTAATAAATTACATATAAACAGTCTTTTTTTACCGTCGTTTGATGGTTATGACGTTATTATTAAATTAAATAAGGATATTGTACAAAAATGTACGGTTCATAAGCTTTCGGAGATCATTAGTGCATCTAATAAAAAAATTGTTCCCACAGCTGGTTTTAATCATGTTTTATTAGGTTTGAGTGAATTGAGGGTAAATTTTTTTAAAAATAAACTAATCGTTAAGTTATTTGAACTTTCATATGTTTTAAAGGAAGGATACTCTGAGTTTGGTGTATTTTTTTACGATATGTATGGGGGTCAAGATATAGCTGTTAAATGGAAGCCACATGTCTTTGAACCGAAAGTCTTTAGTTTGGCCGAAATAAATGGATGTAGTCCTCACGAAGACGATAAAATAATTTGTAAACCTAAAAGATTTCTTACGGATTTTAAAGTAATATTGAAAGGTTTGTTTGAAGACCTAATTTTAAGTGCCGATGTATATAAATATAAATCTTAAAATAAAAAGAATATAGTATGTAAATGTCAGCCTGTTGTATATAATTATTTGACATAAATCAATATAAAGTGATAAAGTTATTCACCTTATAAATTCATAAAAAAACAAAATAATTTTTAAAGTTTTTTCAAAAATTGTTCGAGAATCTATAAATTCATAGTCAATATTATCAACACTTTCACTTAACTTAACAGCACTTTTTAAAAATACAATAAAATTGAAGCACTCAAATGAAAGATTAAGTTATTATTTTTAACGCATTATTGCAATTTTTCCAAATTTTCCTTTGAAACAAATTACTAATTACTTATTTGAAGTAATAACAACAATATACATAATTACCTAAACGTTCGCCAAATAACAACTAAGTACATATGCATATGAAACTTTATTATTTTAAATATGCAATAATATTTGCAAACATGGTTATTAAATTTTACTTATGGAAGCGTTCGTTAGTAATTATTTAACAGAAACAGTTCCTTGATGAATGACTTCGTCAGGGAACTGACGTCCAGGCGTAGTTTATTTATGACTTATAAATCGATATGGTTGTTACAAACAATTTTATTATGCTATGTTTCAATAAAATATGAATTTCATTCTGCATATTAATTTAAAATTTGTATTATGTATTTTTGTTTTTAAACAGTAAGAGAATAGTTTATAGATCCATAACGAAAATATACTTAAAATAAAAAAATAATAAATAGTTAAATTGATAGAATCGTCAGAAAACTATTTTACCATTTTGAAATACAAATTTTAACAATTATAAAATGTGCATATTTTTTTTTTAATTTTATAGTTAATTAAGTTACAAAACATAAAAACTCTTGAGAATCTTATCCGTCTAATCAAATCAAAATTAAAATAGGTAGGTATTAATAAAATTTTTAATTTTTAAACAATTTTAATTCTTATGAACAATATGTGGACAACGAATAGTAAAAAAAAGGTAATTAAAAAAAGTACTTGTTTGTAAAGAATAAGAATATAATGAGTAATCAAAAACCACAGGTAATTAAAATAATTTAGGAATCTAGATTAAAACTGAATAATTGTATTAAAAATATATGATAGCTTGTTTTTATATATAGAAAGCGTATATAGATATTTTTTCTTTTCAGAAAGAACATTACTTGAATGCAAAATCAAATTTATTTCATATCTTTATGCTCATATATGTAAAAATACTTAAGTAAGAATGTTCTTGAATTTAAAATAAGATCATAAGAACAACGTACCAATGTTTCTAAGTATATACACACATATTAACATAATATCCTCTTGGTAAAGATAAAATCCGCGAAATATATTTTACGTACGTTAGTAGTTTTTAATTTCAATTTTTATATGGTTTTTTTTTTTATTATCGTGGTAAATCCCGGATACTAAACACAAAAATATTCATAAAATTTCTATATAACTTGCAGTACGCACGTTTATAAAGCAAAAAAAAAAGGTATAGCAAACGTTTTGTAGAAGAATCAAAAATAAATTAATATTCACTTGTATTTTCTAGTCATCTTTAAAAATGTATGTATATGGAAATGTACATAAGGTATACTTGTACTTATATGTACTTATTCATTAAACCTGATCTATACTAATTTTATACTGCTATTAACTATCCTATAAAATAAGTAAATTATGAAAATCGTTAAAAGCATTTAAAATTGAAAGTGAACGAAAAGTGTGCATCTCAATAAAAAATTAAATTATTGTTACCATTTTGTTATTAAAGCATTTTTTGCGCTCTTTTACGATGTTTTTTAAATTTGCAATATAATATCGTATAATGCACCTTTGTATGCATAATAAATATATACGTTTGTACGTATGAATATGCGTTCATACACTTAATATATTTTTTCTTTTTTATTTCGAAAAAATTTCTTTTTAAAGTTTTCTGTTTTGTTTTAAGATCTTGGACATTGATGACCAGACAATCTTATTTTTATACCCGTACGAACGTATGTTCGAAGGGTATACTAAATTTGCCTTACCGTTTGTAACGCTAAGAAATAACGGTGTTAGATATAGACTCAAGTGTATGTTTTTGATCAGCGTCAAATTCTGAGTTGATTTAGCTTTGTCTGTCCGTCCGTCCGTCCGTCCGTCCGTCCGTCCGAACGATAACTCAAAAACTAATTGAGCTAAGTTCACCAAATTTTCACAAATGATTTATTGTAGTAAGTGCCAGAACCCTATTTAAATTGGACATGATCGGGGTACCGGTTCGGGTAGCTGCCATACAACTTCAAAATTTATTTGGCTATATCTCAGAAACTATAAAAGTTATGGTATTAAAATTTCACACAAACGAATATATTAGTAGGGCCAATATGCCACATAAAATTTGTTGAAATTACTTGGCTCCTTCTGGTACCTGCCATACAACTTCAAAAATTATTTGGCTATATTTCAGAAACTATTAAAGCTATGGTATTGAAATTTCACACAAACGAATATATTAGTAGGGCCGATGTGTCTCGTAAAAGTCGTTGAAATTACTTGGCTCTTTCTGGTACCTGCCATACAACTTCAAAAGTTATTTGGCTATATCTCAGAAACTATAAAACTTATGGTATTAAAATTTCACACAAACGAATATATTAGTAGGGCCAATATGCCACATAAAAGTTGTTGAAATTACTTGGCTCCTTCTGGTACCTGCCATACAACTTCAAAAGTTATTTGGCTATATCTCAGAAACTATTAAAGCTATGGTATTGAAATTTCACACAAACGAATATATTGGTAGGGCCAATGTGTTTCATAAAAGTCGTTGAAATTACTTGGCTCCTTCTGGTACCTGCCATACAACTTTAAAAGTTATTTGGCTATATCTCAGAAACTATAAAAGCTGTGATATTGAGATTTCACACAAGTGAATATATTAGTAGAGCCGATGTGCTTGATAAAATTCGCTAAAATTTCTTGGCTCTTTCTGGTAGCTGCCATACAACTTCAATAGTAGTTTGGCACAACCAGTATTTTGAAAAACACATAGTACTGAAATTTTGCATAAATTAATATGGTAATACGGCAACTTAAAGTCATAGTCTGCCCCATAGTTAGTTATGTCACATTAGTTATTCGCACATAGGATAACAAATTCGTACGGGTATCACAGAGTTGACAAGGTCAACTCTATTTTTTTTCTCGTTTTTTTCATGTCCTCTTTGCAGATTATTCTTAGACTATTATACGTATACAAGTATATATATTAAAACAAGGTGGATATAAGAATATGAAGATTTTTTAGAATTAAACAACAAAACAAAAACGAGATGAATTAAAAGGAAAAATTAAATTATGAATTTCAGTTTGCCGTCCATTCGTCTTTCAATTTGCAATTTTAGAATTTTAGATTTTTAAAATAAAATTATCCATTATTTCTTTAGTTCTCATTATTGCTATTAATACAATTTAATAAATTGAGTTATTTGATTTTAGAATATGCAATAACAGTTTTTAAAGAACTAATTTTGGATATAAATTAACTTTCTTCCATAAAATACGTATACACGTAATAAATACGTGTAGTGTAGTCAAATGTGGTAACATACTGTAATTAAAAATGACTTGTATAATAATATTGTGTATAAAAAGTGTTATTGTGAAATTGTTGAAAGTTTTGTTCAATAAAATTGAACGTAACTTATAATTGTTCTATAAATAAATCAAAAATTTTATTTATATATACACGTCATATTTAACAAATGCGGTCGACATGGTTTGTAAAATAGTATATGTTATTTCCCTTTAACAATTCAAACTTCTATTGAACTTATATACATTAGTACAACTTAAACCTGAAAAAAAAAATGGACTCGAAATTTTTCTTGGGTTTTCTAAATTTTGACATATTTTTACGTCTTTTAAGATCTATAGCTTGAAAAATTTTTTCTCGAGACAAAATCTTTTCATAAAGACAAACATTTGTTCAACAAATTTTATCTTTCTATTTTGCAAATGTTTGTAAACCAACGAATGAATATTAAAAACAAACCATAGAAATTCCTGCGTGAATAATACAACAAATTGATTATTATCATACATACATACATACAAAAGTGAACGCATATTATAATTTAATTCAAAATTGTTAAATTGAAATGTGCTTCTTTGCAAAACTTATTCATTCGATACAAACTTTTGCGTTTATATATAAAATTGTTTTCTTATTACATTTTTATTAATATTAAAAACATGTAAAAATTACAAAAAATAAAATAAATAAAAAATTTTATATGCATAGTATTTATTTTTGTTCTTTAACTAGAATTCGATGGACGCATCATAATCATCGTAATAATTATAAAATAGTAATCATCATTGATATCTTGATTATGATTATTCTGTATAAATATCCGAACTAACATAACTAACAAATCAGTTTAAATTAAGAATTTAATACGTTAACAATTCATTTCATTTTATCCTTAAATACTACTTAAAGTAAATAAAATAGAAAAATAAATTAATAAATCTTTGAATTTGAAGTGATTCACTACTAAAAGTACAAAAAGAAAAAAAAATTAACATGTACCAGGTGAATATTCCTAATTAAAACAATAAAAAACAAAAAATAATTCGAAAATTGCACAATAATTGAAAAGGTGTGAAAAATAACGCGAAAAGAATCACGTAACAAATTAAAAACTATCTACCTTAAATTAAAAATTAAGAAAAGAGAACAAAGTATTTATGGTGCAGTATATAGATACAACTTGTGAAATATGTATAAAATATCGTGATAAAAACAAAAAAAATAAATGGGAAATGTATAATTATTTTCTAACATTAGAAATAGAATTTTCTATTCAACACGATTATACCTTAAGGGTATATATAGGGATAATGGATTTTCCATATTGAGAATAACAGTTTTTCTAACAAAATTAATGAAATTAATTTCACATAGTCATATTTGAATTTAACAGTTACCCTTAAAATAAAATTTCAAAAATTACATTCTATTATATTACAAACAGTTAAAAAAAAATCATAGAACTTAGTTGCGGAGTGACAGCAAAAGTAGCCAAACTTAGAATTTTTTAAAATAGTTCTAATATCGTAAAACAAATTGTTAATTTGTTGGACTATGGTTCACGATAAATATTGTAATGTATACGTATAAGGGTAATACATAAGCTACTATTGTATTAAAATATTCAATTCTGAACCTTAATTTACCTAATAACAATATATCTTACGATATGAAAACGATTTTGAAAAATTGTTGGTCACGTCACTTTTAATATCTGCGCATCAATTTGCTTGGATTACACAATAAAACAGGACTTGTTAAAATTAATAGACATATGTCTGTATCCATAAATTTTAAACGGAAAAACTTTCACAAAAGTTATTGAAAATCCTAACAAATAACTTAGTTTTAATAAAATGAAAAAATTATTCTTATATATTTTCATTTTATTCGGTTTCTTAATTCTACTGAATTCGGGATATTAAGAAAAATTTGAAAAGAATCATTCATAAATCAATTTTTTGGTCGGTGTACCCTCGCAATTCTTTCGTACAAGTTTTTTATAATATTTTGTACGTATGACATAAAAACTGGATAAATTTGTATTTGTTCCAATGTTCAATGAGCAAGTTAGAGTTAAAAATTGCAATTAATATTGTTTTATTGAATATCAAAAACTCGGAAAATATTCAGCATTTTAGGAAAACAAAATATGTTATATAAAGTATTAATCCCTTCAATTACATTTTTCAAATATAATATTCTTAATTATTTATTGTTTTATTCGAAAAATAATAAAAAAATCAGTCAAATCGTACTGTCATCCTAAGTCCTTGGTACGACAAGATATAAACCAAATTTTTATGAATTTTTCATGAGCATTCACTTCAAAACCTATGCAGACATGAATTCCATCCATTACTTCCACCCTTAGAGCTCGATCCAGAACCAATTCCATTTCTATGCAATTTCATTTATTTCATTGGTTTGTCTTCCCCTTCAATGAAAAGACAGAAGAGGACAAGTTATTATTGCGTATAATTCAATCTAAAAAAAAAAAATTTTAAAACATTTCAATATTTTGATTCTCTCAATTATTCTAATTGTCAATATTAATTAATGTTTTATGCAAAAAATATTTAAATAATTGGAAAATTAAATTTCTGATCGTTCAAATTTATTTCTTACCATACATTTTAATTAAGTTTAAGGGTTTAAATTTCTTTCTCAAATTTTATTTATCACAAATTCTAAAATTCAAACTGGTTTACTGATTTATATAAAAAAATTTAAATTTGGTACCAAATTAAATAAATAATTAAAGAATCTTCTTATTAAAATTATAACCCTATTTTCTGTTAGATCGCCTTCCTGTTATTACTTGCGTTTACCGTTAGCGCATCACCACTTGAAGAACAACTTTTAACAGCTTTACAATCTGAGCCAGCAGCTGATCCATCTAATGAACAAGTAAATATATTTCAAAAAATATTGTAAATTATCATATAAATAAATGTACAAAATATATTCAAAAATAGAGATTTTAAAAATATATATGTATATATTTTTATAGAAAATTCCTGTAGCAATTGAAACAAATTCCGACAAGGATTTAGCACTAGAAAAAGAACCAAAACCTCTTGTTCCTGAGGAAGTTAAACCATCAGATGAAAAACCAGATTTAACTGGATCTGAAACAGGATGGGGCTGGAGAGGAGGTTGGGGTGGATGGAGAGGTGGTTGGGGCGGATATCCAGGTTACTATGGTGGATGGGGACGTAGCTATTATCCAAGACATTATGGCGGGTGGCATAGATCAAACTACTGGGGTTAAAAATTTTAAATAAACTAAAATTTTATACAACATTTTCCAACTCCAACATTTCTAATATGAGATGGGGTTTATCCAATGTAAATAAGAATAAAAAAAAGAATAAATAAAAGTTTTTATAACGTAAAACATTTCTTTTATTATTTAAATCACCGAAGGTATAATACCATAAATAGCAAAATAAAATAATACATATATGTAAAATATATGTATATATATATATATGTATAAATTGAGCATATACATGGCTCAATTTTTAAATTACTATAATCTTTTAAATGCTTTTCAAAAATTTACAAAGAAACTTAGCTTAGATTTTATATTGTTTTGGTTAATAAAACAAAATATAATAATAAGGACCTAGAGAAGCTTTAGTTGGAATGATATTTTTATTGCTATTATAACATCGTTGAAAAATATTTAATTTAATATAAAAAACTAATGAAATAGATCAAGATTTCACGCGCTATATCAGTAAAACTGATGGTTTGTTACGTAATAAAGAAATTCAAGTGCGGAGCGTCTAAAATTAAAAAAAAGTCGAAAAGTATAGGTTTTTCACCTTTTTTTTCTCTAATTTCTGTAGCATGTGTATTTAGCAAACGTTTTCCCTTATTGATTATAGTTAATTTCAAATGAAATTAAACGAAAAAATATTCACTCAAGAACGTCATATATAATTTTCTTAAAATTATGTCAGCAAACTTGTATTTTTTTTTCATATTTATTTGAAAATCTTAATAATTAGTAAATGAAGGCTTGTAGAACTTGCGGTAGCGATATTGAAAAGTTTTATTAGCTTTCATGCTTCAATCAATTTTGTAGGAAGTTTGAGATTTGTCCAAAAATTTCAAACCAAAAATTTTCATTGATGAGGATGTATATTTATTAAGAATACCACTAAAACATTGAAACAAACATAGTTTAAATTTTTTTTTTCTATCCAATATTATTAACGTAATAATTTTAAATTAAGTACACTAAAATATCTTTTAAATTACTAATATCCATGCTTTTTATAACCGCCACCGTAAGTGGAACCGCCACTATGAGGTCCGGGGAAAGCAACAGGACCACCATAACTACCAGCAGGACTACCAAAACCACCAGCACCATGATTAGGGAAAGATCCAGAGCCAGGATTTCCACCAAATCCGGGTCCACCAAATCCAGCACTTCCACCAAAGCTCGGTTGACGTGAATGTGCGCCAACACCTGCAGAGCCTCCGTGGGGTCCTGATCCTGGACCTCCAAAACCAGAACCGCCGCTAAAACCACCATGACCGCCAGAACCGCTTTGACCACCAAGTCCACTTGATCCAGAACCGCCAAAACCACCAGGACCACTGTGGCTACCAGGGCCACCAAAACCGCCAGGACCGCTGTGACTACCAGGACCGCTATGGCTACCAGAACCGCCCAAACCTCCAGGACCGCCGTGACTACCAGGACCGCTTTGACTACCGAAACCGCTATGACCTCCAGAGCCAGTGCCAACTCCACCAAAACCACCTGGTCTTCCACCTGAACCACCAAAGCCTGAGCTACCACCACTTGATCCCCCGTGGGATGAACCACCAAAGCTACCACTACCATGAGATCCTGGACCACTACCTGGTCCTCCATGAGATGATCCTCCAAAGTTTCCTCCTGGACCACCAGAGCTTCCTGGTCCACCAAAACCTCTAGATCCACCAAAACCTCCAGATCCACCAAAACCACCGGAACTATGACCTACTCCTGATCCGTGAGAACCGCTACTACCACCTGGTCCTGAAAAACCTTTAACAGGACCAGATGAACCAGGTCCGAAACCTCCATTTCCACTTTCAAGATCATTTCCTCCAAAACCTCCGGTAGATCCATGACCCCCACCACCACCACCAGATCCCGATCCAGAACCAAAGCTATGCCCAGCTTGTCCTTCTATTTTATTTGATTTTCCTCCTCCATAGGGTAAAGCCAGAGTGCAACTTATTATTGCGAATAATACAATCTGAAACACAAATAACGTACACTATTTATTGGAAATTATCTTTGCGTTTTGAATTTAATATTTTAATTTTACGTATGTTTTATTAAGAGCTTATTATTTCCTGTCTTTCTTCCTTATACATATGTAAGTAGCTGAAATAGTGCTTTAGAATTGGAAATGTTTCAAAATTTTTTTTATGTATTTCAATAATTTATTTAATTTTATTATCAGTGACTTGGATTCTTTTAAAATTTCATATTTAATTCAAGAAATTTATCAAAAAATTGAAAACTGAAGTACTTAAAATTCAATTACAGAAAATGGAAATAAATGTTTACTACAATTTCAAAATTTTTAGCTTTATTAGAGAAAGCATCGTTAGCTTAAAATTTTTAGTTTCCATTTTTTAATTTTAATTAATTTTTTAGTTTTAGTTTAAACAGTTATTGAACCAAATTTTTATTTCCAGATTCATTAACCCATTTTTATTGAAAACTATCTAAAACCAGTTAGTTACTTTTGTAGTTTTTGTGAAGAGCAAAATTTTTTAACAAATGAATTAAAAAATTCGTTCATAGATAACCAATGAAAAATAAAATAATTATAATTAAGAAACTATTAACATTAAATATAATAAGACTACTAAATAAAGAAAAATACTTCAAATTTTAATATACCTACTAGTATTATACCTACTAATTTGTTTTCAAATCGTAAGGTTTAAGTACGTTTTTCTTTTTAATAGTTTAAAAATCAATTTTTTATTAAAATTAGCATCATTAATTAGAAACTACAACACTTCTTAGTTTTCTTGGTATTTTTATACTTGACTACATAATTGAATATTTTTCAACAAGACATAAAATCCATAATATTTATTTAAAGGTAAAATTTAAGTTATATCTAATCCAATTAATTAAAACACGATCTTTCATCGTTTTTAAAATTTATTTCCTTTGCAAATTTAAGCAAGCATATAATTTTAAAATACAGGAAAAACCCAACTTTCAAACAATCATTTATTAAATTTAAAATTATAATTTTATATAATTTTATATAATTTTAAAATTATAATTTTTCTCACACATTATAATTATTTCTTGAACCAATCCTATTCGTTTAATATCATTGATAATTATACATACTTTAATTAACAATTTTAAAATACAAGTATTTAAATATTTTTAAATAATAATTACCATTAATTTTGCCATATTATTATTTTAAATATTTAGACTTCTGTTTTCGTTTATATTTTTTTTCGATTTTAAATATATTTTTTTTTATTACACCGCGCGTAAATCGAATTTTACCGTCCGATCAATTATTATGAAAAATTGAATGTAAACTAATTAATAAATAATAAACTTTTGTTCTTTATATAGGAATGAAAAATTTCAAATCATCTGAATTCATTAGTATACTCGTATATTGACGATCATATTTTTATATAGAAATTAATAAATAATGTAAATGCGATATATGAAATATTAAAATATTAAAAAAAAGTTTTTATATGTATACAAATCAGATTCTATGTGATTTACATTTCTATGTGATTTAAATTTTACTCAAATTTTTCAAAAAGCAGGATGTTGTGTTGATTTCCCTTTCTATTAGAACAATTTTTTATTTTTATTAAATTTTTCATGAAAATTAACAATTCGTATAATGTATGTATTCTAACTAGAATTAAATTTAGAATTTTAGAATAAATCAATTCTGTTTATCATATTTTAAATCAATATCATATTAGTGTATATATTAAATGTTATATAATTATATATGTAGTTACATTATTAATTAGAATATTATTGTAAATATTATTATTAGCTGATATTGTGTTAAAGACAGCATTAGATTATGGGTTAAGGCTAAAAGGGATAATTGGAAAGGAAAAGGCAAATCACTAATCACTTTAAAAAAAAGTAAATAGAAAACGGTTTTTGGACGACCTACACTTTTCAAATGCTTATATTAACAGGACTTAAAAAATAAGGGAAATAATAAACACTTATGTGAAGACACGTGTAGGATTGCACTTTTATGAATATTTATAATACGAGTATTACATGAAAGAGTCTAATATTGTATTTGTTTTGTAAATCATGAAACCCGTTACATAACTAATCTATAAAAATGTAACTAAGAGTCGGTATATTTATAAGGGCAAGTATATATAAATAAGTTTTTTTTATTTGCATACTCAGAAAACAATATTAATTATTAAAAAAAATATGAAAAACAAGTTTAGAATATAAAATTGAAAACCTTGGGACAGAGAAATTTTATGAACATAATATATGCAATTCATAAATGCAATTTATTATTAATTAATAAAATTTAGTATAAAAATACAAAGTGATGAAAATGCTTGTAATTTTTATGAAAGTAAGTCAAGTACTTCCATACTTAAAATATACATATACATATATGGTGCTCAATATATACATATTATAATAAGTACAATTTATTCGCCTCAACTTCATAAAAACCTTATAGTGCTGAATATGAGTAATTCTAAAATAAAAATTTAATAATACAATAGTACTTAGAAAATAGAAGAGCATTAACAATTAGTTTAACTAATATTTCAAAATAATTAACCTAAGTAATTAAACACGAACTTAAGCTGAAAAACCAAATATATATACTGGAATTATTTTAAAGTAGTATGTATATATATTCAAAATAATTAAATATTCATTAATAATCAAGCATAACATCTTAAAAATTAAATTAGGACTATACCCTATATAATAGGTAAGGTTAGGTCGACGCGGCTATCGCAAGGTACACATAGGCCAGTAAGGCCCATTGTGATACAGCCGGATTCATATAATAAATAGTATATCAAATCTTCTTCTTAGATATTGTGTACGTATCTAAAAGCTTTTAATTGCGATTTGCTTCAAAATCGTTTCTAACTTAAAAATTGCAGTAACACGAATTGTAATAGAACGATTACCTATTACAAACTTTAGTTTATAAGGCATAATTGCTGAACTTGTATGTTTTAAAATCGTATTACTGCAGTTTGAAGTCAGGAAAACTATATAAGAAGATTGAACTTTCGTCTTATCATAACATTTTCAATAATAAATATATAGAGAAAATTTTAATACTCGTATTTTCCTGGCAAGAATATATTTTTCTTGTACTTTAATCTGTAATTTTTGCAAAAATTATTAAATGAATTGTATTTATTTACGCTATATTTAAAAAAAATTTTAATTTAATTTTCAAATTCTTAAATTTTTTATTATCTATTGTGAATTTTTTTAAAAATTATATGATTTCTACTTAAAATTCTTCATTGAAACAAATAAAGTGTTTTAATATAGTTGAAAATTGTTCTAATCCATGACTTGTATAATTTTCAAATACGTGATAATACAATAATTAATATGCATAGAAATTTATGTTGAATATGCGTTAATAAGTTTGTATGATTGTATTATTATTATTACTTATATAATTTTACATTGTACACATATATTTAAGATATAATGTGCATACAACATTCTGTAAAACAAAATGTTTATCTACATACAAATGTCTTCTCGATTTTATAATCGACACAATTAAATGCCGGCAAAATAATCTTTGTTTTTTGCAATAAAAGTTCTGAGAAAATTAATTTTCTTTGCAAATATGAAATTAATAATAATATGTACTAAGTATTCTAATAAATCGATCTAATAGTTTAATAGTAATAATATCCGGAATAGTTTGATAATTCTACTATTTTTTTTATTAATTTTTCAATTTAGTTCTTAGGATCATTTTGATTTGGAAAAAGCTTTTCATCATTTAGATATTAGAATAGGTTATTGACGATAATGTACTTTAAGAAAAATATTTCCGCTAATTATAACTTTTATGTTTTTTCGTTTGAAAAGTTTTAAACGTAATTTTAGATACTACCTTTATATAAATGCAAGCAATTTATGGTACTTTTTATTTAACATTAATTATTTATGAGAAAGTATAATTCAATCTCCGATATATTTTGTAGTTTAGGAGGGATTTATAAATATTTTTTTTTTTTTTAAATTAATTTTAAACTATAATTATATGTGATTTTAAAACTAATATTTATTTGGGATTCTCGAAAAACAAATTATGCAATAAAATATGTCGGGTTCTTGGTCAATGTGAATTAAAAATACATTCTGTTTTCAATGGACTTCATATTTTCTTATGACTATACATCTTGACCTGCTGTTAGTATATAAAATTCCTGTATTATATTTTAAAAGAATTGATAAAAACATCTTCAAATTTTTCTTGTTTAAGTTATTGTTTTTATTATTAGATTTCACGACATTTCAAATTTTGCAATAAATAATAATTAATTATCAGTTTGATCTATTTGCTTAATGGTTGAAAAACAAAAAACAAAAAACGAAAATTATCAACTATATTAAAAAACTAACTTAAAATTTTTTTTATGTAATTAATTAAACATTTTGTGTTTATGTTATAGTATAAGCTACTAATCATGTATAAATAATGAAATTAATTTTAAAGTTTACTAAATTCTATAATCAAAATATTAATTTTATAATTAAAAAATTATTTAGTGAGCTATAATATATTCGGGAGAACACTCCCTATATAACATTTTTTGTCTACATATTATGATTTATGTAAAATTTAAAAATTACTGAACAGACTATTATTATTCACTTAAACTATAAGATCAATTAAATTTAAATAAATAATTTTTTTAAATCACGAATTATTACTTATTGATCTATTGCCACTTAATAAAAATCTTAATGTATAAACAATATTTTTTCCTTCTTATTAAAAAATCCAATACACAAATTAATATTATATTATAAAAATATTTATTAAATTGTAATCAATGAAAAATTAAATTAAACTGCATAATAAATATAAATAATTATTGTAAAAATAAATCTTCTTATATAGTTTGTAAATAATAACTAACTCTTATCAAAAATTTTGCAAAGAAAAAAAAAATGAAAATTATGCTATTAAAATCAATAGATTTCGATTTCATAATGATGAAGATTAAAGGTTATAATTGGAAATATTTCTTGATAATACTTTTAATAAGAACTTCAACTCAATTTGATAATATTACAATCTGTCTAATATTTTGTCAATGCTACAGTTTTCATTTTTTATTAATTGCGACTTCAATTTATTTGCATGCTACTGCAGAATGTATAAGTAGGTATATGTACTTCTTTTCCTAATAATTAGAAAATTTGAACTACAATAATATGAGCTATAGTGTTGTACTTAGTATATAAGATTTGCAAATGTAAATACTTTAAATTTTTGATCGATGCACCATATAATCGAATATACACATTTCATTATACATCAATTAACCGTGTTACTACAATTTTGTATGGGCAAAATTGTACAATGTTATGTATGAGCATTACGGTCCGGACATTTAGGTGAGATTATGGGCAGTTAGTTATGTATGTTTGCTATAATACTTTAACTTTAACTCTTATCAAAATTATTCATGAATGAGTCTACGCTGAATAATTTTCCCTGAAATTGGTGTAGGTATATACACTCTAGCTCGCGACAAGTGTATGTATATGTGTTGAATTATATTATATTGTTAAATCGAAAATAAAAACCATTTTGTATTTTCAATGACCAACCATTCAAATGTACTTGTTTTATCTTTTCCTACTCCTTACCCAGTTATGTTGTTCCAAGGTCACATATTAAATTGTTTGTTTGGACATTCTAAAAATTATTAGCTCAATTATTTTGTATGAATTCTATTAATGATCACAATTAATATAAAATTGTCCGACATTGAAAATTTTTCCAAAATATTTCTTTTTTTTTCTAAATGCAATGGCATGGCATTTTTTAATATTTTGTGCTAAAGGACTCTAATTTACTTGAACTGCTACATTAAATTGACAAAATTAAATAAACTTACGGAAATTTTGTTAAAAATAAATCTGAACAATTTAAATCTTCTTTCAACAAAACTTTTTTTAATATTTGCATTTAGTTTTTTTTTTACTGAATTGAAATATTTTACAAAATTTTACAACAGATGTCGCTCAATACAATATGATGCAATTTAAAAGTTTTCCATTAATTGTTCTTCATGCCATCTATAGCATAATATAATATATTACAAAAAATATGTTCGTTTAACATATTTACAGTTATTATTGTTAGTTGTTACTTTTCTTTTGCATTATTTTTCTTATTTTCTACCTTTCTTTGATCAGTTTACAAAAAAAAAGTATTTTTTTTACTTACTCTCTTTCAAATATAAATATATACTTATAGTTAGCACGTAATTTAACTAGTGTTCAGTTTACATTTTTGTTATGCATACCAACACAATATAAAATATACACATACTGTTATTTATGTACATACATACATTATATCTACATCTATGGGTATGTACGTAAGATTGCATGATTTTTTTTTTAAAATTAGCCTTTAGTCGAAGATAAAAATTTAGTGGAAGAAAATATTGTAAAAGAAAAAGAGGTGCAGGGAAAAAAATATTTCTTCAGTTTACTTTCCTTTCAAATAACTTTGATCATCATTTGTTATTTGTTTACAAGTCTTCAATGGTAATGTTACAAGAGTAAAACCAAAAAAAAAATTAACGAGTTAAAAATTGATAAAATAATTAAATAATTTTAAATATAATTTTTCATATTTTAATTAATTATTTTAAATTTTAAACCAATTGAATTTGATAAAATTTTTTTTATAAAATTATTAATAAACAAAATTCAGAAAATTCTCGAAAAGTGCGTGTTATAAATTTCACTTAAAGGTGAAAGTTTAATTTTGTGTTATTTTTTAAATCAAGTGTTATTTGTTATTATTTTCTATTTGAGTTATTAAAATTTTAAGTATTTAATTTAGTTATAAAAATGAAAATAAGTCAAATATTGGAATTATTATTAATTCTCATAATAATTGCGTTTGCTGCTTCAAAACCTTATCATAAACATAATGGTATGTATTAAAGTAATGTTATATGCTTATTTACATATATGAAAATTTATACATAATGTATGTATGTATTTTCTGTAACTATAATTAACAGAGTATATTATTCAATGTTTTTTATCTTCTATGTATACATATATTAGACAAATATGGAAGACAAAGTTCAAATGCAGATTCAGAAACATATGATGACGGTGATGATGATGATGATGATTTCTTTGGATTAGGTATGAAAAATAAAGAAATGAAATATGTAACTTAAAAGCAAGGTGTGCAAAACGTATAACTATTAAGACAGTATTATTTTGTTCAGACATTTTTAGTTTTTTTTCATGTGTTTTGCATTTACATTTGGTTACATTTTGTGACGTACACGTCAGTGAAATAAAAATAAACGTAAGTAATTGTTTAGAAATGAGCTACATATGTATGTATGTATATATTTTATATGTACGTATATGATGGCATTATTTTTGCTGCATAAATTTTCTGTTTTAAAATTAATTTCTGGTATTTATGGTTCGGTATTAAAGTTTATAAATTCTTTTATAATTAATTAAATAAATTCTCAATAATTATTCAATTAATTGGAATAATTTCAATTTTAAATTAAATCATTCAAAATTTTGGACTTCTACACAAATAATAACGTCAGTTCCATGTACTGATCTTTGTAATGGAAGAATTTTATTTTAAATTCTTGTAACAAATAAAGTATTTGCCATGTTTAATTTAATTCTTATAGCTCAAAAATTTGAATATACAATAATTTAATTTACATTGAAAATATTTTTAATTGAGTTTTGGACTATGCAAATTTGAATACCTCATATTCTATAATGCTATAATGTTATTGTATTACAGATTGATTGATGAAAATCACGATTTATTTTTAAATAGGCGTGTAACACTGTAATCTAAATGGAATTCGGAGTTCACAAAAAATTTGATATTTAATAATATTATCTTACATTTTATGTTAATTTCAACTATTTTTTCAATTATAATAGTTTTATTCTTTAATATTAATGGAAAAAGTTAATGTTATGCAATACTTTCTATGATACCAATGTTTGTTTACTTATGCATATTATTTTATATTTTAATTTTAATTTATATGAAAATTCTATATATATAGTACTGTAGATGCTGTACACGAGACAACATCAGCTATTCTTACATTAGAAGTAGGTGATGTTGTTTGCAATTTAAATATGGATTTATGGCTTAGATTATAAGAATGTTAGAAGATGATTCAAATACTTTACATTAAGTGTTTTAATTTATGATAATTTTACTGCAGATTTCAATATCAAAGCTGTCAAATCTTTAATCAATTAAAAAATTGGGTAATATCTGGCAATATATACAAAAGACTGAGTTTGCGACTATTACTTTATTTTTGTCTGCAGCAGACAATATTCTAATTGGCTAAAAATATAACAGTCCCATAGTATTTCAGTCTAAAGTAATTACACTATATTGAAAATTCATCTCTCAAAGAAATTTCAATTAAGTTTTTTACTCAAAATTTTACTCAACTATATTTTTGTTCAATTATTGATAATTAAAATTATTTCGAATATAATATAAAGTAGTGAATAGTTATTCAATTTTAATAAATAATGATTTCTCGCAGTCAAAATTCTTAATGATAACTTAATTAAATTCAACTAAAAATGTTGTATGCATACATATTTAAATTTATCTTAAAATTTAAAAAAAATCGATATGAATCAATTAGTCAAAAAAAAAAATTAATTTTTGACAGCGAAAGAAAGTGAAATTTCAATTTAAAAATATTTTAAGTCAATGGTGGTGTATAGGAATTTCATATTATTACTGTTTTTTTTTTGTTATTTATATTCAATTTTTATGCAAATTTAGCCCATTGTTACGAAATCATAACGTTATGAGAGTTGAATACCTTTGGAAGAATGTGTTAACTTTTTCCAATTTGTTATCGCACTTATTTTTGTCTTCTTTCTTTCCATATTCAAAATATAAAAAAAAAACACAGATTATTATAAATAAAATTTAATATTTACTGTGAGTAAAAGAAATTTTTACAAATAGAGGAAAAAACACTTATGTTAATAATTTTGAAAAAAATCAAAATTTACTGATCTCCAATCACAATACAAAAAATTTTCTTCCGGTTCAATAAAATATGCAGAGTTTGAATGTGTACGTTTGCGCACCTACTTGTTAAAATCATCATTTTATCGTTAATGAAAATATTAGTTTTCTTTATCTAATTTTAAACATGATGTGAATTTACACATATTTTTATTTTATTTAGATGCCGAAGATTTAGATGATGATGATGATAGAATTGCAAATGCAACTACAGCATTATCAGATAATTTAGATGAAAGTGATAGTTTCTTATTATTTGGTGATGACTTTTTAGCTGTATTCGATGACGACGAAACTGATACAAAAAAGAAAGAGAAAAAGAAAAAAACAAAATTAGAAACATCACCTGCCGACTTAATTCCCAATCTTGATTCATCACAATCAAATATTATTTCACAAAATTCTAATCCACAATTAATTCCAATTGAAACAGTTCAAACTGTTGTTAATCAATTAACAGAGAAAAATGATGGATCGAAACCATTAAATAAAGATAAACAATCAGCAACACAATTAAATTTACAACATACATCAGCTTTATTAGAATTGGTACAAAATTCAAATGCTGGCATGAATTATAATAATTTAACTATTGATGATGATTTTGATAATCAATTAAAATTAGATGGTGATAATTTTTTAAATTCTACATTAAATGATGAAGAGAAATTAACAAGTTCAGATGATGAAAATATTTCAGCACAGCCATTAACAGAAGCTGAAGAGCAATTATTAATGCAAACATTAAATAAAGTAAAACAACAAGTTAAACAGCAGCAGCAACAACAACAGCAATTACAACAGGCGATTTTATCAACATCTACTGTTGCACCAACGAAAAAATTATCAACAACTGCTAAACCAAGTACTGGTCTTTTAGGTATTGTTGAAGATTTAATTGAGGATGATGACGATGACGAAGAAGTACCAGAAAATGAAGATGATGACGATGATGATGATGATGAAGAAGATAGTGAAGAAGTTACAAAAAAGCCATCAACTACAACAACTACAACAACAACTGTGAAACCATCAAAAACGAAAAGACCAACAAGTTTTATTGATGTAATTGGTGATACATTAGGATTATAGAAATTTCAAAGAAACATAGTCGTTGTGATCTAGTGTCGTCTTTTAATTTTTTATTAATTGTTTTCTTTTGTTTTTGTTTTTAAATTGAATTTTATTTAAATTATTTATTGATAAATTATTTATTTATTTATTTATGTTAAATTGTTAGTTAGTGGATTGAGGGTATAAAATAAATTAAAAAAAAAAATAATTTGAAACGAAAGATTACCTTTTACCCAGTAGAGTTTTAAAAATAACACTTCTATGTAAATTTTCAGTGTTAAAATTAAAAAAAAAGCAGTGAAAACCAAAAAATATAAACTTTCTTTTAGTAATGTAAAAAGTTTTACAAAAAAAAAAGAAATATTGTAAACTTTTGCCAATGAAATAAAAGAATTTCGAAAATGACAATCTTAAAAATTTTATTTTTATTATTAACAGTTTAATTTTGCTTTATTTTTTTTATTTAGATCTTTTTTAAATTGAGAATCTTATGTGAAAATCATTTCATTTACATTTGAACTTAACATTACCGAATTTTTAAACGTTCGCCAATAAATATGCAAAATTTTTGTAACAAAAAATTGAAAAAATAAAAAAATGATTTGGCTTTACTATCTTGAACAAAGTTAGTAATTTCTTTAATTTATTATATTTACCTGTGTAATAAATAAATATTAGCATATGATTATATAACTTTTAGCTTGATTCACAGAATAATATTTGTTTCATTAAATTATTGAAATTCATATTTTGGCAATTAATAAATTTCAAAAGGCATTACCATAGCTTTGGTAATTACTTAATTCTATTAAACCGGTTAAATGTAAAGTAATCTTATTATTCATATAAAGAGAGGCACACTTATGTAAGAGAGGAAAGCGAGAGATGTGTATGCTAGGAGAGAGAAATAATTCAATTGTTAATATATGCAATGCAATGGTTAATAGATCATTATGTAATTATTGAATCTAAATAACTATTCAGGATTACAAAGAAAATATGAATATGCTCGGCAAAATATTTAAATAAATACTTTTGATCATATTCCAATATAGGCGTCAACTAAAATGCAACTTTTTAACTTCAAATTTGCATTCTACCTTTTAATTCAAGACTTTCAAGCTTGCACTCTAAGCATTTTGGTAAACAAAATGATTTGCTACAGCCAGAATCTATACATTTGCTTTGAATTTTAGTAAGTAAAAATAAAGGGAATTCCAAAAAATGGAAATCTTTTAAAAAATTAAAATAATGTAAGAAAAATTTTGTATATTTTGTTTTGTAAGAATTTATAATATAATTTATTTCTTTACGACCGAGCGCATACTAAAAATTTATTTTCGAGTTGACTTGGATTTGATTTTACTTTAAAAGCTTGGTTAACATTACCAAGATCAATTTGATATATACATTTACATATAATGTACATTTTCAAGGTCGTTCAAGAATTGAAAACAATAAGATTCGTGCTGAATAGAATTTACTTACATTTGAATAATATAATGCTCTTCTTTGAGTTAAAAATGTGATGCTTGAGTTTATGTATATGAAGTTATAATTTTTAAACTAGAATGCAATTTAAAAAGAAAATATTTTACATTTTCATACTTCGGTTTTGGTGTGGTTAATGATAATTGCCAGTTCTCTAAAAGACATGCAATTAAATTTCATAAAAACTCGAAGCATAAGCGGTGTTACTCATTAGATTAGACATGTGAACTGATTTCAATATTATCTCGAATGCCTGTTGTTTGATACTACTATAATTAAAGATTGTTATAATTAAATTAATCAATATTTTAGGAACCATTTCAAATCCATATAATAAAAATTAACGAAATTCTTTCTTTTGATTAGGAAACTAGTGCGAACACTTATCGATGGTAGTTCTTTCATTCTAAAAAGCTAATTTTATCACACTATTATAAATTACAATGAAATCAGTTGTAAAATCCAAAATATTTAAGATTTATAAAAAGTTCCATACATTCGAAATTTTTTTTTAGAAAATTTGTTTAAGGAAATGACAATTCAATTCACAAAATTATGCGACACAAGAAAGTATTCACAATTTTAATCAAAAAAATAATTTATTAAATTTAAATTATTTATTAAAATTTAATAGAAAAACAAGTTATTTTTATTTATCAACAATATTGTTTTCCAATTTTTAATAAAATTCTTATCAAAATAAAAATATGAATGTTTTTCGAAGTTGTTTTCCATTAAAATCAACAATGATTTTCAATTGACGACAATTTCATCTATGCATATTAAGATACACACACATATACATATGCATTTTGCTTAATTAAATTATGGTGATCAACATTAAAAAAAAAAAAAAAACCGTATGAAATACAGTAATATTAAGTTACTTGAATTCTGTTTTCTTTTCTATTGGATTTTATCAGTCTATATGCTTTCTTATTTTATCGATTAATTTTTAAAATTAAAGACGCAGGTCAAATTTTAAACGAGCCCAAACAAAATACGTCTAGATGTTGAAATACCGGCAAATGTTGAATCATTTAAAATAAAAAAAAAATAAAAACCTTTTCAATATGCGGACATTAAATATTTATTCAAGTTTTTTGCTTTTCTTTTTTGTGCTGATAAATAGAAAGAAAGAGACGGGATATTACTTTATTTGTCATTGTCTTTTTCTTTTGCATTATTATTAAATTTTCTAGATCTATACAATAATATGATAAGTATAATTATGTAAATGAATAAATATGAATGAAATTTGTTCTGCCAACAATGGGATATTTCAATATATATAATAACATGAGAAAGTTTTGAAAATAACCTTAAAATGTTGAAGGAAATTTCAACATTCAACTATTTGGGAAAAACTATTTTTCTTGAAAATGAATGTAAGTATAAGGGTACAGGGTGCATAATATTTAATTACACTGCGTAAGCTTATTTTTAGATAAATATCTTAAAAGTTTTAAAAAACTGGTGTGAAACAACAGTCGTCTAAGTATATAAGCGCATTGTTGATTGATTGGGTAAACGTGGCCAAATTAGAATAAATGTGCTTTCTTCTTCAGCCACCCTGTAATCTGCGATCACAAATCTCCTATATAAGCCACCTGGTCCTTTTGAGGAATCTGTCCAAGTCCTCGTCTCTAATTTTTGATATCTCGTTCAAAGCCGACTCACGTCTTAAGCTCACTTTTTCGAGAAACTGGATATAATGTGCTTATTAGCGGATCCGAACGATATTAGCGAACTCACAATCGATCATTTTTATTTAGATTAAACTTTTCTTTAAATTTTAACACCGTGCCAGTTATAAAAGCCTAAAGAAAGTATTGTTATGTTTGTAATGCATTTATTCGTATACAAATTCACTATAATACCATATTATATATATGGTATAATATGTAGTTGAAACACAGAATACATTTTTGCGCCATATATAAGTAGATTATGTGAGACTATATTACAAATCGAACAAAATCGTACTGCAAAATCCATTTTCTAAATCCATTTTTAAGTTATATAATTTAAAATATATATAAAAATATATTAATTGAAACAATCTTATGTTACAGACGAAACAAGTGATAATTAATATGCAATTCAGTATTGTAATAAAATATTTACAACATGGTGAATAATAATAACTAAATATTTGTATAGATAGCCTTTAGTATGTGTTTCATATTATGGTTATATATGTACGTACATGTGTATATGAGTGCAAGGGAATCGAATTAATTGATAAGAAAAGTGGTTCGATAATCAAAATGAAGGTGTCAATCGAAAAGTTTCCAAAATCATTCAATTTTTATGTTGTGAAACACACAAGATTGAATTATACAAAAAAATTGAAATTGAAAATATAAAAAAGAAGAATCGTTTAATTAATTTGAAACTTAGAATTCTACAGTTCGATTCTACATTTCAAGAAATTTATAGGGCATACTGCAATAATAAATCATCAACTAAAAATTACGAAACAATACTTTTTTGTTGTTTCTTAACTAACTTGTAATAAATAGAGCAAATAATTTTTATCAAGAACTAATTTCAACATAATTAATTGAAGCTACGTTTCTGAAACTGCAATTCAAAATTTTCATTATTATCTTTTATCGAAAATATTGACGTTATGTGATTCTCATTACAATTCATTCATTTTGTTCATATCGTCTTAATTGACTTCATTTTACTAGAGATTCAAATTCCGTCAAAATAAAACGCTTTAGACCGGGGCTCCAAAAACAGTACTTCTTTAATAAGTTGGTTCTAGAAAGTAGTAAGAATTAGAATAGGGTTTTTGAAAAAATACAGAATCTTTCTAATGTAATGTGGCATTTGTAGGACATGCATCTATCCATAATGTGAAGATTAATTTGTTTCAATGCTATTTCGTTTAATTAGTGCTATATCTACTACAAGAACTCAGGGAGACATGGAATTTTTCACTTTGGAATTACTGCTTAATTGTAAAATCGTTGCGTCCGCATCTAAGCAACTAAACTATTGCATCAATTCAAATCAATTGCGTTAATTAAACATAAACACATAGCAATAAGTTTGTAAACACTTAGAAACAGTTTGTTTGATTTCACGCAGTTATACTGTTTCATGTGTGCGTGTTGGATTATAAATGTATGGAATACAAATAAGCAATGAAACAGTTGCAAAACTAAAAACGGCTTGTTTGATTGAGTTTTAATTTATCAAAAAGAACTTGGTTCTTTTGTTCAATTTCACGATTTGTGATTATTCAAATTGGAAACTAAACCTAGAACAGGAATTACAATATTCTCTCATTTTTTAAATTTCAATTTTTTTTCTTATTTTTTTTTTTGTTGTTATTACTGACATTCCCGCATACTAAACGCTTAAACAAGTAAATTTAAAGGTTTAGGTTCTATAAAATAATTCCATAATCCCACGACATTCAGTCAGTCTTAAAGTACATCTCAACGAGACTGATAATACAAGTTTTTCAAGTTAGCATTCAAACAAAAAAAAATTAATAAAAATAAATTTTCGAGTTCAATTAACTTAAATTGAAATAGCATTAGTGTTAGTATAATTTTGAGTATTTATTATATTTTTCATATTATATTTGGAATAAAAAAAAACTTAATTAAAAAATGCCAGTGGATATTAAAAATGTGCTTGTATGTGATGCAGTGGACAATGCTTGTATTGAACTTTTACAAAATAATGGAATCAAGGTTGAACGTAAATTGAAATTAACTGAAAAGGAATTATGTGAAGAAGCGAAAAATTTTGATGGATTCATTGTACGATCAGATACAAAAATTACAAAATTAATTTTAGAAACTGGAAAAGGAAAATTAAAGGTTGTTGGTAGAGCTGGAGCTGGTGTTGATAATATTAATGTTGAAGAAGCAACAGCAAATAATGTTTTAGTATTAAATACACCTGGTGGTAATTCTATATCAGCTTGTGAATTAACATGTATTTTAATTGGTGCATTATCAAGACATGTCGTACCAGCATGCGATAGCATGAAACGTGGTCAATGGGATCGTAAATTATATAGTGGTAACGAATTATATGGTAAAACATTAGCCATTTTAGGTTTAGGACGTATTGGTCAAGAAGTTTCCCGTCGCATGAATACATGGGGAATGAGAGTTATTGGGTATGATCCAATTACAACACATGAACAAGCTAAAGCGGCTGGTATTGAAAAAATGGAATTAGATGAAATTTGGCCATTAGCTGATTATATTACAGTTCATACACCATTAATTCCAGAAACAAGAGATTTAATTTCGGCAAAAACTTTAAAAAAATGTAAAAAGGGTGTTAAAGTTATTAATGTAGCCCGTGGAGGTATAATTAATGAAAGTGATGTTATTGATGCTTTAGAAAGTGGACAATGTGGAGGAGCTGCCTTTGATGTTTATGCTGAAGAACCACCAAAAAGTGAAGTTACAAAGAAATTAATTTCTCATGCAAAAGTTATTGCAACACCACATTTAGGTGCTAGTACATCGGAAGCACAAGTAAGAGTTGCTGTTGAAGTTGCTGAACAATTTATTGCTTTAACTGATAAAAATGCTAATTACAAGAACTACAGTGGAGTAATTAATCAAAAAATATTAAAAGCATATTTTTAGATATTGTTTTTTTTATCATGTTTTATACACTATGCATTTAAATATATACAATGTAATTTGTTGTTTGAACTTGTTTTATGAATAACTGCATTTGTTTATTTTTTTTTTTTAAGAAATTGTGTTCAAAAATTATCTATATTAAATTTATTGCATATATTGCGGAGGCATATTTGGTTTAATATTAAATGATCATAATTATTTCACATAGCTATAGCTATCTTAGTCTTTAAATTCTTACATAGCACAATTTTAAGTTTTCGAAAGTAAAACAGAGCTAATGATAATAATGTACGTGTTTTTAAAATAAATAATTAGTAATTGGTAACGGGTTCAATTGGTTATTAATAATTGATGAGGAGCAGAACCTAGGTTTTTGTTTCAAATAAACATTTTTCATTTAATTCCATCGAATACGCATAAATTGAGCAAAGCCATAATGAAATAATTTGCACCTTCCTAGTCGTACCCCCTATAAATAATTTTATTTTTTCTATATCTTCATACACAGCGGTGTCTTTGCTTTCGTTATTATTACTATTTAACTAGCTTAATAAATCAAATTGCTTTCATTTCTGGAAACTATATCAAAATATGTAGCTACTCAATATTTTTTTAAAATACAATACAAATTTTTAATATACCAAAACAAATTTATTTCAAAAGTAAAAAAATAATTATAGAATTTCAAACACAATTTCTATAATTTGTTTAACAACAATTTAAAAAATAAAAACAATTTACGCTGGTTGTTTACGAATATATGGTTTAGGTCCTTTTCCATGATGGGCCAATCCTTCCTTTGGTCCTTCATCTTTGTATGTAATTTTTTGAAATTAGAAAATATGATTTATGTTTAAAAACCTGTTCTTATAAAATTACAACGTTACATATGTATTATATGTATGCAAATTCGAAAATTGTTTACTTATAAATACATGCATACTTATAAATTTCCTATTTTATTGTTAAATTGAAAAAAAAAACATCGCATACAATTAGAATGAAATAGCATAATGTGCATAATTTTTATAGCAGCAAAACTCTTGCGCCGCACGATATGCAATCGAAAATGAAAATTTCGAACTAATATTTTCGAAAGTGTAAAATGAATTGACAACATAATTTACTTAGTGAGTTTATCAGAGTTTTTTATATTTTAACCATATTATTATTTCTCGTAATTTAATAGTATTTCAATTTATTAAATATTTTTATTTTATAAAATTGAACGAAACTTTGCTAATATTATAATTTCGAGCTGCTATTGGATTACTCGACGTTATGATATGTTTTTAAACTCTCAAAGATAAAACTGGCAAAAGCAATTTATTAAAAAAATTTCAATTTTGTGATTTCATACCTGGTTTATCTGCCAATTGTAATTCACCAATATAAAGTGGTCCTTTAGCGTTTTCAAATGCTGGTGCTGATAAAGATAAAGTTTTAGAAATTTTAAAAATAAATTTAGGTTATTTTTAATATTTTATCACCTGGTTTATCTGGTTTTAAATTTAAATCACCAATATAAAGTGGTCCTTTTGCATTTTCAAATGCAGGACCAGGTTTTTTAGCATCTTCATTAGGAATTGGTGAAGCAAATATATTTAGGAATAAAAAAGCGAAAATAATCTACAAAATTAATAATTAATACAATTTCCACTGACAATATACAAGTGGTGAATTTCTTACCAAAAATTTCATTTTTATGATTACAAATTTTAATTTATTTTTTTTTTCAAACTTCTTTTCAGGGACACTAAGAAAATATCAACTAAAATATTATTAGAAGTTCAGTTCTTTTTATAGAAAAAAAAACTCATATCACAATTTATTTTTCAAATATTTTTATGTTTATATTAAAATCAAAGTAAGATTAGTCTCAGATGAAAAAAAATTGGGAAAAAAAATTTATTGCCGGTCTGTTTTTTGTCTTTACTGTTTTAATCTTACAAAAGATATCGCCAAATCTTAGGAAAAGATTAAGAAAAGGCCAATTTTGTTTCTTTTAGAGATTATGCTTTTTATTACTTAAATTTTAAATTTCATAAAAACATTTCAAATTTTTTTAAGTAAAATAGAATAGTTTTAGAATATAAGTTGAAACACATATACATATATTGAAACACTGTATGGGAATATCGAATTTTTGTCATTTATCTTAATAAACATATATATTAAGAATACTGTGCGGATACATGAATATGAATATTGAGCTCATGTCGACTTTCATTATGAGACTCCCCACAATTTTCAATAACCAAATTGAATTTAGCTTACACACAAATTTCTGGAGTATGTTTGGTCCAATGTTCTTTGATTTTAAAATTACAATAAAATACAATGTCTTAATACAAAATTCAGCAATTACAAGTCATAAGCTGAATTTCATAGTTTCGCCATAAAACTGCATTTTTGAAGTCACGGATATTTTTTGTTTACAAAAAAAATTTAGTTCCAACTTCCACATTTCAAAAATATATTTTAGGCAATTCGGACATGTGAATAGAAATTATCAAGTTTTTTGTTCGATATACAAGAACTCTTGAAACCGAAAGTCCTTAAAACAACTTTTTTTTTTGTGATATTTTTTTTTCTATTTCAATTCTATTTGCTTATTTTTTAATCAATTCCTTGTATTCGAATAGAAAAAAAATAATAATAATTTTTTTATGATTGTTTATTTTTTTAAGAGTTTTGTATTTTTCAACAAAGCTATTTTTGTTTTCAAATGATGAAAAAAAAAAGTTTATCTGGTTTTTGAAGGTGGCGAAATCTGAATTGCTTATTAAGTAAGAAAGAAAGAATGATTTTCTAGCAATGTACACATAATATTATTTTTTATAGTAGCTATATATACCCGTACATATATTGTAGTAAAGTGGAAAAAATAATCAGACTTTTTGGTCGAAAATCATTGGTGAACTTTTACTATAATTAAACTAAAACGTAGAAAATGCTGATTATTTTGACTTATCATAAATTTAAATTTAGCATAAATGTGTAGGTATACACAAAAAACTGGCATTAAATCAATTTTTTAAGCAATTAGATTTATAAAACACTGGTTTTCTTTGAAAACTGCTTTATACATTTTTGAATACTTTACTGTCATCAGATTCTATGACTTTATTTTAGTTATTACGCTTTTGCAAATTCAGAAAAATATATGTCTGTTTGCTAACCTGAATAGTTTAGACATGGTTCAAATAGCAATAATTTGTACATACACGGCGGTATGGCATAGAAGGTTTATAAAATGTGTTGAATTTTTCATTTTTATTGGCGAAGTTACGAATGGTAAATAATTAATTGTTATATTGCTGCGTTGGCTTTTTTAAAATGTTTATTTTACGAAAACCTTAAGCCAGTGAAAATTTTTAAAACAACATCCAAGTATGTATGTGAAAAATTGTTGATGATTTACTTTCTTAAATAAACTCGCATGAAATTTTTGTTATTATTTTTTTAGTTTTATTTTTCACTCTTCACAACTGTATACACTTTTCTTTTAAATCTAATATCCTTTACGTCCATATCCACCATGGTCTCCATGTCCAACTCCATGTCCAACTCCTCCACTATGATGAGCACCGCCTCCTAAACCACCAACACCACCATGATGAGCACCGGCTCCTAAACCACCAACACCACCATGATGTGCTCCACCCCCAAAGCCATCATCATGATGAGCACCGCCAGCTCCGCCAAAACCACCAGCGCCACCACCATGATGACCAGCACCTCCAAAACCACCGGCGCCAGCACCATGATGGCCAACCCCATGATGACCTCCAGCTGGTAAAACAGCAGCTTGATGACCACCACCATGTGCAGGTAATACTTGTGGACCGAATCCGCCTGCACCGTGTCCGCCATGACCTCCTCCAACTCCTCCACCTAGATGATTTACACCAGCATCACCACCATAACCAACATTGCTGTGACCACCACCGTAGCCTGAATTCAATGGTTTAGCTAATGTCATAGCTATTGTTAAAGCCAAAATAATCTGAAATGCGAAATAGTTTTCAAATTTATTAACATTTATTCATGAATTAAGTTTGGTTATGAATGGAAGAGATTTTTTCATTTTTGAATTTTATATTTTCATTATATTTTTCATAAACCCATGTGCCTATATTAACTATAATGGGTTATATTAACTAATAATGGGTCAAAAACAAAAATTTTATTAAAAATTCTATAAAATCATCGCAAAATTCATTTCAGACCAAAAATTTTATGAAAGTTTTAATTATTCTGAGCCAGCTTTAAAATTTTAGGCGTTTATAAGCTGTATGAAATCAAATATTTTTATTTTAATCGCAATCTCTGCAATGGAAATTCTTCTTCTTTGCAAGCAAATTGAAATTGAGAATTTTTTTTTAATATATGTAGTAGAAATGTTTTTCATATAAAGTAATGATTTTTTCCATTTTATTCCGAGATATTAGTGTTAATCTTTTTGCAACTTCTCTTCCAATTACAAAAATGTTTTCGGCTGCTTAAATCAGAACTTTTTCACATATTCTATTCTTGCAATTTTATTTTAATTAGACTCGAGTCAAACTGGTAATTTCACTTATAGAATTCAAATACCGGCTGATGGATTCAATTTATCAATTTCATTTTCTTTTAAAATTAAGATATTAAAAAATCACCCGTGTTTAGCACTTATTTTCTTTACTTCTACTTATTTATACTTCTACTTATTCAGTATTTTTTGAATCTCTTTATTTTTTAATATTTTCAATAAATTGAGCCAATTTACTCGTATACATTCTTTTAAAAAAATTATTATTTCCATAGCACTTTTTTCTGCTCACCATAAATTTTGCCATATTTTCTTTTTTTTTTTATTTAAAGACGTGCTCTAATAACTTAACTACAGACCGAACTAATTTTAATATTGCTTAGAAGTTTCGTTTTTATACTAAAATTTGACCACTAAAAAATTTTATATTGATGTTATCAAAGGGCCAAAATACTTTTTTTTTTGTTATTTTTCACTTTAAGCCTAAAATGAGAGTAAAAATGTTTGATTTTAACAATAATATATTATATACATATATTAAATATGTAGATATTATTATAATTATACGCATGTAAATGAATTAATTTTTCTATAATTACGACTATAATAGATAAGACCAAATTTAAGAAAATTTAAAAAAAAATTTGGCAGTCTATTTTAAAATTTATATTCGTTTATAATGATACTCGTATAAATCCAACATAAAAAAATTTTAGGGTGGTTTAGAATTTCTTTTAAAATTTCATGTTGAAAATTATTTCAATTAATTGACATCAAAATTAAGATGGTCCTTCGATTTCGCTTCTATAACAAATTTGTAGTATGTAATGACACATATTGTATTAACGTTTGACATAATATACGTTAATATCGAAAGGTTTTGATATTTGTTAATGTTAATTTCGAATTTCATCTTATACAAACTTTTTATACTACAAGACATAATTAAATACAAATATTATTTATAGCGTTCAATTTAAAGCAATATGAGGCTATACGTTTTACACTAGCTTAAACAAGGGATAATTGAGAGGAGTAGTTATAAGCATATTTAATCCGGTAGAAAAGTTTAAACCTCATTTAAATGTTAGATATTCGAAAATAACATAAATTTTAATAAAATATTTGAGCTATAGAAATTATTTCTTAATATTTTCTACTTTTTCTAAGCCCGATTTATTAAACATTTATTATTGAATATTGTTTGAAGATTTTTTCTATAAACCGTCCTATAAATAATTTATTTACTATTTCAGTTAATTTTTTTTCAATTCATTCATCAAAAAATGCAAAAAGTTTAGTTTAAAAATCTTAGTCTAAATTTAGAAATTTAAGAACAAATTTATCAGAACAACAAAAATATTGAAAATTACATTATTCTACAGTAGAAGTCCATTTTCATATACTTGTACACATTATGTAATTTCCCTTCAATTTGAATTTTTCAGTAATACAAAATTTTTCGAAATATTTTTTTTAATAATTTTCTAAAATAAAATTTTAATTACATTAAAACTCGCATAATATTTTTACTACAAGTTGTATTAGTTCTAAAGAATAATAAAAGTACCCTATAGCTAACATACGCAACGTTAATTATAAATATTCATTGCTACTATCGCACTCTTTGATAGAACATTTTTTATACAACTACTTCCACTCTATGTTCCTTTTCATACATATGTACAGCAGCTGAGTTAATTATTTAATATAATTTTATAAATATATTATCCTTTAAAATAGTCAATAATTTGATTTTGCGAATGCATTTACTCTATGTCATCTTTTAGAAGTAAATATTTTTTTGTGTCACCATAATTTAATTTGACTTTGACGACTTCACATTTATACAATTAAAAATTTTCCTTTTACATACCAAGTTTCATTTACTATTATCACTAAACGTTTACTTATAAAGAAAAAAGTCTATATCACCTTGAGGTTAATCTTAATTATATAATTTTTTACATATGTGTAAATATATAACAAGTTTACAAATATAATAACACACGCACCGATAATTATTACTTATTTTTGCTTTTAATATTTTATGTATACAAGTACGAGTACATATATGTATGTAAATTTGCATGTATATAATATAATTTGTTCATAGAGAGCAAAATTTTAATATTTTATATTTAATGTTTGAGTAAATATTTTAATAAATGTTAGAATTTCTTTATATATATTTTTGTAATTAATTAATTGTGATTATTTGCATAAATAATATTAAGAGTAAACAACAAAATATGTATACATATATTTATGTAAGTATGTATATGTGGGTGATATTAAAAACAATGAAATTTTGATTAAATTATTAAGAAAATGTTTGAGGCACAAACGCAAAAATATTGGTATTAAAATATAGTTTCGGGTTTGTTGATTCCAGTTTAAAGCTGTATGAAATTCGCATAAATCTCTTTTAATTGTTATAACGTAAGAAAATTATCAGTACACACTTAGTACACTCAGATAGTGTACGTATAAGAGCATTATAAAGTGTAATTAGCAAAGGGGAACTTTAGGGGCATCCGAAGTGATGATTTAAATAGAAAAGGCCGAATTTTATATACATTGGTGATACAAAAAACATGAATTTGTTTTTATTTTTCTCTTGAATTATTTTGATTGTTTCCAATGAAATTCATCACTGAATTACGAGTATAGTAAATTTTAATAAATAAAAAATTAATTTCTGCTTAAAACAAGCAATTATTTTTCTATTAAATTTATTTTTTTTGAGTTTTTTTTTCGAAAATTTTAATATTTTTACTATAGTTCAACTAGATTTAGTCCACACCAAAAAATTTATTCATAATTAAAAAAATTTTCAGAAATTTGAATTTTATTTTTTTTATTAATACACATAACTATACAAAATATTTTACAGTTGTACCATTAAATACCTACAAGGAGGCTCATTATGAACTTATGAATTTTTTTATTCTATATATTATAATTTAAATAATCATTTTAAATACAAACATAAATTTTCTAAATTAAAAATATAATAAATTATATAAATATAAATAATTCATTTTTAAATAAATATTATATTATATATTTTAAATTAAAGAAAAATTTCTATATTGTTATATATATATATTATTAGAGGGCTCTTATTAAAGATGCAACTAATGGTTCACCACCTTTATGATGTGTTACATGTGGTTCTGGATATAAAACAGTTTTTGCAGCTTTTGCAATTTTACTTTTAATAATATCTAAACCATCTTCAAGTTTATCTTTTGCTTTATCTTTTTTATATAATGCTGGTACAATTAATTTATTTGTAAGTCTATGAAGTTTTTCTCCAGCTTCTTTTAATTTTGGTTTAAATTTAATTGCTAATGCCTTTTTTGCAATAACACCAGCTTTAACAGCTACACCAGCTTTAATAGCAGCACCAGCTGCTGCTACTTTTTTAACTGCTATTGCTTTTGCTGCAACGACACCGGCTGCAACTTTTTTAGCTAAATCAAATGGTTTTTTAGCTACAGCTAAAGCTGCTGCACCTTTTAATTTTATTGCCTCACTAGATTTTGATGCAGCTTCATATATAAGTTCTTTAGCGTTATGACTTTTTTTATGATGGCTATAATGATGATCATGATGATGATCATGATAATGATCTGGATTTGGTGCACATTCTGAATAATGGAGTGCAATACCAATTAAAACCTATATATTTAGTAGAAAAAAAAAATTTTAAAGTGAAAAATTATAAGTGAAATTTAATTTTATTAAAACAATTCACTTACCAAGAAAATTAATAAAGATTTCATGATGAAAAGGTGTTGGATTATTCTTTAAATTTCTTTTTTAATTGCACTAATGACTATAAATTTTTTTATAATTATTAAAATTAATTTTACAATATTTCATAAATAAGGTATGAAAACTCTTGTTAAACTGATATGAACACAGAGAATGAAATTCTTTTTATAGTTGACAAACTGACCAATGTTTAGTGAAATTTATTGCAATTGAAGAAAGGCAATAGTTTAGAAAACTTTCAGAAATTTCACCTAAAAACAATTTGTAATTACCTTCAAACTATTTGTATATTTTGTTTAAGAAGGGAAACTTGTTTTCGACGAGGAGTCCACATGTCATAAAATATTTGAATTTTTTTTTTTACAAAATTTTGTAATTAACAAAGTCAATATGTAAAAAGAATCTTATTGCCTGAAACTTGAAATATGAAATTTTATTATAAGATTTTGAAAATTTCATAATCGATTTCTCACGGTATTTATTTCAAGGCAAAAATACTTGATTTTATTTTTGCAGGTTTAACCGCAGGTCGATCCAAATTCATTATTGGAAAAACCCCTTTAATTTTATAATATTACAGAATTTTCAAAAAAAAAAAACATTAAAAATTCATTGTTAAAATTTAAAACGAAAAAAAACAGAAGCACTGCTATTTATTGTTGTGACTCATAAAAAGGTTTCAAAACACTGAATTTCAGCTTACTGAACCAGACCTTTTCAAAGAATTTAAGCATTGAAGAACGATTTTTAAAAATAAATATGAGTATTTTACTTACAATTTAAATGGACCTAATATTTCAAATTACAGGTGGGTATAAGATTACAATGGAAACTATTTTTTAGTGATACAACCATGTTATATAAATATACATATATTAACATTTGTCTTATTTAATTTAAGTCTCCGTAAGGAGACTCAATGGAAAGATTTGTGAATGTTGCCGAATTAAATATATTGAATATATAAAATGCTGTTGTGTATTTTGAACATAGAAATACTGCAAGTAAGAATCTTATTAAACTAAATAAATTGAATGTGATTATAGTAAATATTTTCTATATTGAAGAAAAAAATTACGTCACTATCTAAAGTTATTAATTAAAACTTTTATAAAATGGTAAGTATAATATTCTTCAATTGTCAAAGATCATTTAGATTTTACTATTTATTAGAATACGTGAACCAAAGTAAAAATTAAAAAAAAAACGCAACTAATTAATATATCGCAATACCATATTGGATGATCTCGGAACTATTGGGACCGGGTTTTAAAAAAATTTAAAAAAAAATTTATATAGGTTTCTCTCGAACCTTGATTACGATATGACTATATTTTACATAATTTTCTATAGATCCCTCAGAAATTTTTGTTAAATATTGGGGTCTAGGAAATCCGATTTCCTTTAAAAAAATTGAAAAGTTCTTCAATATTCTCGATGGTATGACAAATAATTTTTTTTTTTTTCTTTTTAGGAACCTGAATCCCACAGTACAGATTTCCGAAAATCTTGCCCAACAAAATTTACACAGAACTGTCTAAAAGCACCTCTATACACCTTGAATGTAAAGTTCCACTTTAGTCAAAAAGGACCTGCGTCCTATTCTAGACCAGAAAAATTAACATATTAAA